CTTACATTAATACCAGCTACATCCCCCATGGGATAATTAGTCCCATTTTTCTTAACTACTCTAATGGGGAAATCCTGGGGGTGAAACCATAGGAAAACTGTGGTAGGTGGGTCTTTTTTTTTTTAAGATTTTATTTATTTATTTGAGAGAGAGAGCAGGAGCAAGGGGAAAGAGCAGAGGAAGAGGGAGAAGCAGACTCCCTGCTAAGCAGGGAGCAGGATGGGGGCTTGATCCCAGAAGCCTGGGATATGACCTGAGCCAAAGGCAGATGCTTAACTGACTGAGCTGCCCAGGCACCCCAGGTGGGTCTTTTTAAATTTTTTTATTTTTAAAGATTTATTTATTTGAGAGAAAGCGAGAGCACGAGAGTGCACACACATGAGGAGGGGGAGGGGCAGAGGGAGAGGGAGAGGCAGACTCCCTGCCGAGCAGGGAGCCCCACGAGGGACTTGATCCCAGGTCCCCGGGATCATGGCCTGAGCTGAAGGCAGATGCTCAACTGATTGAGCCTCAAAAACACCCCAGTGGGTCTTTTTTTAAATGAAAAATTAAAAAAAAGTCTATTATAAAATATTAGAGTAATGAATAAGATGCTTAAAATAAATTCCATATATGGCTTTCTGAAGTGTCTTTCATTATTATACTCTAGGAAGGAATTAATGTAAAATTAGTCAATTTATACTATCAATGTAAGTGATAATAGCACTGCTACTTGCAAAACAAGTAATCCAGTTAGCTGATGGCAGATATTTTTAGTATAAAAAGACATATACAATGGAAGCTCAACTCTGTTAAAGTACCTATACTTTATAAATAAAGGCTCAAGGTAAATACACTAAAATGTTGATCATGGCCATTTCTTTTTTTTTTTTCTTTTTTTTTTTTAAAGATTTATTTATTTGACAGAGAAAGACACAGCAAGAGAGGGAACACAAGCAGGGGCAGAGGGAGAAGCAGGCTTCCCGCTGAGCTGGGAGCCCGATGTGGGGCTCGATCCCAAGACCCTAGGATCATGACCTGAGCCGAAGGTAGCCGCTTAACGACTGAGCCACCCAGGTGCCCGATCGTGGCCATTTCTGAGCAGTAAGATTATGGGAGATTTGCATTTTGTTCATATTCTAAATACTGAACAACAATCATGTATTACTTTTATGATCAAGAAGAAAAATCATTTGAAAAAATAAGAAAAGTTTGGGGCACCTGAGTGGCTCAATCAATCTTGATTTTGGCTCAGGTCATGATCTCAGGGTCCTGAGATCAGGCTCCTGATGCGTGTGGAAGCTGCTTAAGATTCTCTCTCTCCCTCTCCCTCTGCATCCCCCCCGCCCCGCTCTCACTTGTGTGTGTGCTCTCTCCCTCTCTCAAATAAAAAAATATATATATAAGAAAAGTTTTAAATGCTGAAAAATAAATATCGTGAAATGTGTGGTCCAAGAATGACACTGAGGTTCAAAGAAGCATATCCATTTTCAAATGGTGGGGAAAAGGCCTCGCATGACACAAAATAGCCTGATTCCTTTCTAGTGTAGCAAAAACAATCCAGGTTTCAGAGTCAAAAGACCTGGACTTGAATCAAGGTTCTTCCACTTTCTAGATAAGCAGCCTTGGATAAGACAATGAAACTTTAAGATTTCAAAGTATTCAAATCAAATCAAGAAATAAATAAAAATCTGGAAAAATTTGTTTTCATCAATATGATAAAACAATAATGTCAGAAGTATAAGAACTTGTAGTGGAAAAAAATGAGAATTAAAGTAAATTGCTTTGGGGTGCCTGGCTGGCTTAACTGATGGAGCATGAGACTCTTGATCTCGGGGTCATGAGCTCAAGCCCCACGTTAGGCGTACAGATTAGAAAAAGTCGTGTGTGTGTTTTTTTTTAATATGTTATTTATTTATTTATTTATTTTAGAGAGAGAAAGAGAGAGAGCACGAGCTGGGAA